TGAGGGAGACCCGGATGCACTTGACATCCCGACTCCGCGCTCTTACGCGGAGGCGATAGAGGGTCCCTACTCCTCTCAGTGGCAGGCAGCTATGGATGCAGAGATGGCTTCCTGGAAGTCCACAGGCACCTACGTTGACGCTGTCCCCCCTCCTGGGGCGAACATCGTCAGTGGCATGTGGATCTTCAGGGTGAAGCGGCCGCCGGGTTCTCCGCCTGTCTTCAAGGCGCGTTACGTGGCTCGTGGCTTCAGTCAGCGGCAGGGAGTTGACTACTTTCAGACCTTCTCCCCCACCCCGAAGATGACCACTCTTCGGGTACTGCTGCACGTTGCTGCTCACCGTGACTACGAGCTGCACTCTCTTGACTTCAGCACAGCTTTCTTGCAGGGCAGCCTGCACGAGGAGATCTGGCTGCGTCGCCCACCTGGCTTCACTGGGTCTTTCCCTCCTGGTACCCAGTGGAGTCTCCGGCGTCCAGTCTACGGTCTCCGCCAGGCGCCACGTGAGTGGCACGACACACTGAGGACTACGCTTGCGGCTCTTGGGTTTGCTCCTTCTACTGCCGACCCGTCGCTGTTTCTACGCACCGACACCTCTCTGCCGCCGTTCTACATCCTCGTGTACGTCGACGACTTGGTCTTTGCCACAGCTGACACTGCTGGACTCGCCTACGTGAAGTCCGAGCTGCAGAAGAGACACACGTGCACAGACCTGGGTGAACTGCGCAGCTACCTTGGCTTGCAGATCACCCGGGACAGAGCACGCCGCACCATTACCCTGACTCAGTCACACATGGTGCAGCAGGTCCTTCAGCGCTTCGGCTTCACGTACTCCTCGCCTCAGGCCACTCCTCTGTCTACTCGCCACTCGCTCTCAGCTCTGCCTTCGGATGAGTCCGTAGAGTCGAGTGGCCCGTACCCAGAGCTTGTTGGCTGCCTCATGTACCTGATGACCTGCACACGACCTGACCTTGCATACCCTCTTAGCATTCTTGCACGCTATGTTGCTCCTGGGAGACACAGACCAGAGCACATGGCTACAGCGAATAGGGTGTTGCGCTACTTGTGCAGTACGTCGGGCATGGGGCTAGTGCTTGGAGGGCGGAGTCCAGTGGTCCTCACTGGGCACGCGGACGCTTCTTGGGCTGACGACCAGGCTACGCAGCGGTCGTCACAGGGTTACACCTTCAGCCTTGGTTCCGGCTCTGTTTCGTGGCGGGCTACTCGCTCGTCTTCTGTTCTTGGCTCGAGTTGTGAGGCTGAGATCTACGCCGGGGCCATGGCTGCACAGGAGCTTCGCTGGCTCACCTACCTGCTGACCGACCTTGGAGAGTCGCCTCGTTCTCCTCCAGTCCTGTACGTAGACAACAAGGCCATGCTGGCCTTGTGTCGAGAGCAGCGACTGGAGCACAGAACAAAGCACATTGCTCTCCGCTACTTCCTTGCTCGTGAGCTACAGCAACGTGGACAGTTGCGGCTTGCGTACGTGGCCTCTGAGGCCAACACTGCTGATGTCTTCACCAAGGCACTTCCGCCTTGTGATCATCAGCGCTTCTGCACTCAGCTGGGTCTTGTGCCTGTCTTGCCTCACTTGCTCTCCTCTTGACCTTGCTTGTACTCTCACATATATATATACCTGCTCTTGCTTGTCTAGCTTTATATATATGTGTCTACTCTTGCATGTGAACTGGCCGTGTGGCCTTGACCCTGTGCTCGGACTGTGTGGTGACTTTGTGATCCACCCTGAGCTTGCTTTGCTTTGCTTTGCTTGACTGGTCTTGTGACCCCTTGTTCTCCCCCACTTTGCCTATGGGGGTGTGTCAGAACATTATAGCTTATGCTGTTGTGTAGGCTATAGTGGGGTATCCCATAGGGGGTACAACCAATTAGGGTTTCATATTTGTACTCACTTCATTTTCATAGTTCACCCCATTCTCGTTCTCATTCTCACACATCCCACGTGCTGTATTGGACGGTCTCGCAGAATGAACTCCAGGTGACAGCTGGACCCGTGGGCCCTTCCTCTTGCGACGGTGGCTCGTAGGCGCGTGGCGACGTCACGATGACTCGCCACCAGTCCATGGCGGGGCCCCTTAACTGCAAAACGGCATACCGAATCTTTGCTGCGTCTGACTCGACGTAATTCGCGTCGAAGAAGACGTTCATCGTGAAAACCCACGATTGAACCGTCGGACCTCCACGTTGGCTCGGGTCGAAACAGGGCGGGCGTTGCGGCTTGAGTGGCATTGGTGCCATGATGGCCTGTTCGCCACTTGTCGCCGCGAACTCCACGTGCCGACGGGCTTCGCGAGGCTCCCGCGGGCTTGGCGCGCCCCTGTTTCCTCCCATGCCAGGCATTGGTTGGGCGACGCTATCACTGGCTGCGCCCGAGCGCTGTCCCACGCTGTCGTGTTGTGTTGGTGTCCCGGACGAGATGACGATTGGCTCGTCCGATTGTGCAGGTGCATTTGTTGGTGCGTGTGGTGCTGCTGGAGTGTTCACCGTTGATTGCTGACGCGCGGAGTCACGTTCCGCTGTGAGCATCGCAATTTCGAGCGCCGAATCTTCGAGTTGGCGCACCAGATGGTCGAGCTGCTCCTGCGTCAATGTGGCGAGCGTGAATTCGGCCATGGCGGGGGTGTCGGGCGAGCTCAGCGAGAGCCTCAGTCGTGGCCGTGCGTGCTTACGAGAGAGCACTACGAGCGGCGGTGCTGTGTCGCTGAGAGACGTCTACCCCTCCCAAAAATTGAGATAGTGGGGAAGCGAAGGTGTGGGTGCGGTCCGAGAAGAGGTCGTGGCTCTGAATACCAAGTGTTACGAGTGCAATTGAGTGAACGAACGAGAATTGCACTATCGAAGCAAGAGTACAATGAGCGAAGGCATGAGCGAAGAATATATAGCGAAACTACAGTGGTAACGGTAATGGACTGTGGTTGTCGCGCGACGGGCCTGGGACTGAGGTTGGGAAAAGTGTCGAAGCGGAGGCCCGGAGCGCGGGTTACCCGCCGAGCCGTGAGGACGGGGTGCGACGTGCGAAGGTGGCGGACGGATTGTCGATGCGAGGATTGCGAGTGGTAACGGTGCTGACTGTGATGCTACAGTGATGTACGCGTTGAGCAGGGACGTGAAGTAAGGAAAAAGAGATTTTCCTTACAATATGCAATAAATGCAACCCCTTTATACGAGTTGTCATTTTGTGCAGTTGCATTAATGATTCAAAATGGTCGTGCTGACAAAACGGGTAAATAATTCAGGGCTAGAATGATTCAAAAAAATACAAAGTCGTATTATAGTATACATTAGGACCAGCCGTAATGAGGCAACGGGACTCTTGCATAGGACTAGAAAATATTATAGCATGGACTATACTTCTCAAATGTAGCAAAAGACGGTTATTTTCAACCCACAAATTCACAGGCATGTTCAAATAGGTTTTGTGTGTTGCCTCAAGAAATGCAATTTTGCAAAATTATGCAAGAACACACAGTATTTCTCTTTAATTAAATCTCGTAGAAGTGTGAAGCAGTTTATTACTAAGTTCAGTTTCTGTTTCAGTTACGAATATGATTGAAAACTATGTCATATTGAAGATATATAACACCTTGCATAACCTTATAGCCTTAAAAAACAATTGGCTGAACGGTTATTGCGTATTCAGGGTAAACCATGCCTGGCTAAAGAATGTCGTCCAACAAATCTGACACAAACTTTGTCGAGAGTGTTTATGCCATTATCGTGAAAGCGCATGTAGAAGTCCATAAGATTTAGAAATATCAAAATTCGGGTAGCGCGGTGCGAGGGTAGTCGACAGGATTGAGCAAAATTCGAGAGTCGTCGCGTCGCGCGATTACACCTAGTCCGCGGTATTTTAACCAGGTGAACTTTGTTCTTTCAAACCCCCTTTGTTCGTTTCTGGGTAATGATATTAGCCCCCAGAGTCATCGAGGCTACGATTCTGCAGCCAAAAGCACTTCCATCTAAGGAGCTCACACTTAGTGCTCAAAGATAGACGGAGTGACATTTGTCACACTCGACATTCACTGAGTTTTTTCTGCCGTCATCTCGCGAAGGGAATGCTAGATTCTACCCTCGTAAAGTTTGAGACAACCCGTCTAAATAAGTTTGATAAAGGAGAAGTACCCTCGCGTGGTTAAGATAGCGGCGGTTAAAATACCGCGGACTAGGTGTAATGGGATGGGATGAAACGAGAAAGGATTGGATGCGATACGATGGGATGGGACGGGATGAGATGGGATGAGATGGGATGAGATTGGGAGGGTGGAAAGCGAGCGAGGAAAGGAAGTGGGAGGGAAAGCAAGGGCGGATACTGTAGAAGGAGGGGGGATTACGGACGTGAAGCGAATCCATACAGAATGCACGAGTGGGTGGTGGTGGCTGGGGAGATTGCGGCTTTGGTTTGGCGTCACTTTATCTGTCCACTTGCTGGCTGGCTTGTCGTGCTCGCCTCTCCCTGCTGGTTGTTCTCTGGTGAGCGGTAGAGTAGATGGATGGATGGGAGAGTTTTGCGGCTAAAACCCCCAAAATTTCGTGAGTTTCTGAAAAACAAAGAAAGTGTCTGTAATGGCTTGCGTCTCCTTTTTGCGAAGCACAAGAAAGAATGAACGACCTGGCGGTGAGGGAGAATAAGGAGGGTAAACTTTCGACGTTTACAAATTGGAAGACGTGGGTGTTGAAACAACAAAAAATTCCGCACTACAAGAGTTGACGAGCGAGCACCCTTGTTACAAGCAGATCCTTGATTAGAGAACGCATTTCTACAAAGCGTTACAGAACTCCAAACTGCTACCATTGTATGCATTTCTACAAAGCGTTACAGAACTCCAAACTGCTACCATTGTATCCTGTCCTCTGCCCTCTGTTGAGTATTTGTTTTAGCGCATCTTGGACCACTATTGTCTCGGTTCTCACTAGCAAATGATTGCTGTACCGTATGTGTCGATCAGATAACATTTTCTTGTCACCTTCCTAGCGCTCCTAGACTAATGTTGACAGTCAAGCACATAATTTGGAGCAAGAACTGCATCGATCCCGTGCACCACTATCCGGCGGGAAATCAGCGCGTTTGGCCGTACCACATGTGCCCTCGCTGCTAACTCCTTAGCCCTATCAGAATCCGTGACACCCCCCACCAGCACTTGCCCCGCGGCGACCCCTGCGCCAGTAGCTGATGGCACAGCAGCAGCAGTAGCCAAAGGGTTGCCTATACCCTGCTCTTTTCCACCTTGATCAGATACCCCAGCACCAGCTGGTGAAGCTAAGGGGGCGTCCTTGACGGCCAGTAGCACGCGCCGCTTGCCTTGCTCCAGGGGCGCGTCAGGCAAGCGAACCAGGTCCACTCCTTCTGTGCGGAACTGTGGTTACCAGGGGAGGAAGAGGGGAGGAGAGGCGTAGCATAGCAGGACTCAGTCACGTTGAAAGGTTGGGGTGGAAGCATAAGCAGAGGATTGGTGACAACAACAAACAACACTTCAACATGCTGCGTCTGCACGGGGTTTCCCCATTCCTAGTGCCCATTAGATGATGAGTCCATGTGTACGGGCAAGGCAAACACTCCACCAGGGGTATTCCTTCCCCACTGCACATCAAACATGCTCATCCAGCGCCCGTCGCATGCTCCTGCCCGCGTTCCTGTGGTGCAGGCTGGGTGCGTATGGTGCCATGGCCGGCCCTGTGGCAGGCAGGTAGCGCATGTGGCTACAAGTGGGCGAGCCGAGGCTCAGACTGCGCCACACAAGCAAGGAGAGACATGAGGGTAGATGGGGATAGAGTGCGGTGGTGCTACCGGGGGGAAGTGGGGAGGGGGAAGTGGGGAGGAAGAGGTTTGGGACGCGGGGGAATAGGGAGGAGGGGAGTAAAGGGGGGTGGAGAAAGGTCAAAGCTTAGCAGAGAACCAATAGAAGCGAGAGAAGAATGACGTTGGTGAATGACGTTGGTCTAGCTCATTCGACAATCCATACGCGTCTCCATTCTCCGCCCCCCACATCCCCCACATACCCCGCGTCTCCATTCCCCGTGCCGAGCGCGGGCTTACCTCGAATCCCGGCGCCTTGAGCGCGATGCGGGAGAAGGGGAAGCGCCCGCCGACGAAGTGCGTGGCGGCGATGGTGAGGCGCGAGTCGGCGTCGGCGCACAGCCGCGGGTGCTGCGCCGTCAGGCGCGCGAAGGCGGAATCCGTGGGCGCGAGCAGCGTGAAGCGCGTGCCGTTGGCCAGGGACTCGCGCAGGAGCGACGGCACCTCTGCGCGCCACGGGGGGAGAAAGCGGCATGCGGGGGGGAGAGGGGGGGGGAGGGGAGGAGTGGGGGAAGGGGTGTGAGGGGGTGATATAGAGAAAGGAGGTGCAAGAATCAAATAGGAGGGAACGGTGGAGTCAAACGAGTCGGGCGACCCAAACGAGCTGGGCGAGTCAAACGAGTGGGGCGAGTCAAACGAGTGGGGCGAGTCAAACGAGTGGGGCGAGTCAAACGAGTGGGGCGAGTCAAACGAGTGGGGCGAGTCAAGCGGGAGGATCCCCCCCGGCGTGAAGAGAAACGGCAAACGCAATGGCAAAAGCAGTGGCAACAGCAGCTGGCAAAGGAGTTTTTCCAGTGTCGTGCGGGCGGGGGGGGAGAGGAGGGGGGGGGACTTCTTGTTCCAGAAGCAGAGGAGGAAGCTCGTCACGCTGAGTCGGAGCGCAGCGAAAGGACCGCGCGAAAGAACGGGTTACCCCCACGAGGCTCCAAGAGACATTTACGTTTCACACCTTTTTCACCCCTTCTTCAGTCCATCCCTCCCCCTCCCACCTCAACGTCAATCTGCTCCGTCCCCGTCTCTTCACCTGCATTATCTATTCCCGTTGCATTCTCCGCACTGGCCTCCCCTCCGCGCACCTGTGCGCTTGAGCGCCGCGGCGAACTGCGTGAACTGCCCCTCGGGATTCTCCAGGAACGCCAGGAGCTTCGCCGCCTCCCCCGCCGGCGAGTGTTCGGGCGGAGGCGCGGCGAGGCAGGCGGGCGGAAGGACGCGATGCGCGATGACGACGAGCAGTGCCGAGAGACGCAACCTCAGGTCGAGCGCGCTGAGTGGTTGGCGGCGCGGAGGCATGGCGTCGCGGTTGGGGGACGTGGCAGCTCGGTTTCGTAGCTCTTGGTGGGTAAACACGCTGAGATCCAGCGCGGACAACGGCGAGCGGCCTGGTACGACACACGTTTGAGGCGATTATTAACTTTCAGTGACAGTACACCACTCAGGGAGCTATCCCGCTTCCGTCTCACAAAACAAAACAGCGTTCGTTAAAAGGCAGCAGGATGCACTGAAGTTAGGAGGTCGTTGGAGAAATTACCATCGCTTGTCGCCACTAGAGGGGACAATGGTAGGCCAAGGCAGGACGGACGGCCAAAGCGGGTTGGAGCCATGTCACATGGGTGGGTGGGTGGGGAGAGAGGGGCCAATTCGGTTGCTTGTTTGCTTGCTGTGCTGCGCCAAGCGTCGCTCGGGAAAGGGGGCGGAGGGGGGCCGGCTGCGGAAGGCGCATTCAAGAAAAGGGGAAAGGCAGGCATGACGCGCTGCTGCTGGCACAGGTGGGAGTGTGTCGCGCAGGGGCTAGAGGGAAAGTGCGGTGGTGGGATGGGGTGGGGGGACCAGAGGGGGAAATGCAGCAACGAGGGGAAGGGGCTGAGTGGAACGTCGAAGCGCGCACGACGGAACAGTAAGCGCTCCTTCGGTCACGACTGCGGATGTGTACATTTTTCTAGTGTATCTCTTATAAACACTATCAGTTTTATCAATGTCAATTAATCTGAATTCGCAAAGTTTTATTCTCAATGAACTATATTCAGTGTCTTAGGAGACTTTTGTTATGAGACCGAACAGGAGCGATCATAAGAGGTGGCAGGTCTTACATGCCCTGAGATTAATAATAGGCTAAAAATGATTTCATTTTTTTAGTCTTAACGGATCGAATATATTGCAAATATACTTCACAAACGTACGTAAACGCAGACTGCGTTGTCAGGTGTACCACGCACTATACAAACGATTTTTGTGTCAACAAAGGGGACAAACTAGACTCCATTCCAGCCCAGATCAACCAGGTCCAAACCACTGCGTCACAACACAATCCCTTCACTTACCTGTGATCCGTTCCGTTGCAATGGCCCCGCGAGTCGCGGCGTCTCTGCCTCGCCTGCTGTACCGCCACCACGCGCTCATCCTCAAGGCGTCCGTGTCGCTCTTCCTCGCGGTCGTGCTCTTTCTCGCCGTCGACCCGCTCCAATGGCGGCAGGTGCGCGCACGACACGTGTTCCACACGTGCCCGACTTAGACCACCCTCGCATTCCCCTCTGGGGTGTCTCATGTATTGCCTCCGCGTGCCGTTAATCGTCATCGCGCGTGCGCTAATCGCGTGCGTAGCCAACACGGAAGGGTATTCGTCGCCGTGATATGCATACATTCTCGCAGCGCAATCGCCACGCACAGCCATAGATTCCTGCTGTTCTCACGTTCTACCTTCCCCCAGCTCTTCCCACCACAACCGTCAGCACAATCGGCCATCTATTAACCTCGGCTTGTCCCATCCCAACCCTCCCTTCCCCCCACTCGCTGCCCCTCCCTGTCCTTCCCCCTCACCGCAACCTACAGAAACCCCCATCACACCTCTTAAACTGCGCAGCACACGTTGCCCCCTCCGACCCCGCTACTACAAGAACTGAGACGATTTCTGACACGCCTCAGGAGCTCTCTTGCTGCGTCTCGCTCTCCTTCTTCTTCCCTCTCCTCTCCTCTCCTCTCCTCTCCTCTCCTCTCCTCTCCCTCACCCTCTTCCTCCCCCCTTCCCACCAGCGCGGGGAGCCCCCATTTGACTTCTCACACTGCACATCCCACATCCCCCCGTCCGACCCGGCTCCAAGAACTGGGACAATCTATAAGGCGGCGCCTAAACAAACATTGCTCTCTTTCCTTCCCCCTCCCTCTTCCCCCCTCCCCACCAGCGCGAGGAGCCCCCATTGGACCTCTCCCACTGCCCAGGCCACAACCCCCCTCTCCTTCCCCCCGCCCGCCCCCGCTCCCCCTCCCCGCTCCCTCCCCCTCCCCCTCCCCCTCCCCCTCCCCCTTCCCACCAGGGCGAGGAGCCCCCATTGGACTTCTCACACTGCCCGGCCCACGCCACCCCGTCCTCCAACCCTCCACCCCGCCCCTCCTCCGCCCGCTTCGCCTACACGACCCTCATCACCTCCCCCAGCTACGTCATGTCCGCGCTCGTCTGGTGCACAGCGCTCCGCCTCACCGGCACGCCGCACCACATCGTCCTCATGACCGCCATGGACGACCCCTTCTTTAATCTCCCCATCCTGCACCGCCACTTTGATCTGATCCTCCCGGTGCCGCTGGTGCCCAGCAAGTACGGCGCGAAGCACTTTGCGAAGCTGCAGGCGTGGCGCATGGAGCAGTACGAGAAGGTGGTGTTCATGGACGTGGATGCGATGGCGCTGGGGAGTCTGGACTTTATGTTTGAGAGAGAGGAGCCGACGGGCGTGCCGAGCTACTTCACAGAGGCGTTCAACAGTGGGATGTTTGTGCTTAAGCCTTCCCAGGTGCGTTCATGCATGTACGCATGTGCACATGCACATGTACATGTACGCTCATTCACACAATCACGGAGGTGCGTGCACACACAAACACACACACACTCACGAACTCTCACCCTCACCCTCACCCTCACCCTCACCCTCACACTCATATGCACGCACATGCGATGCGGCTGGTGAGCAGTACTATGTTGGACACAAAGAGATTTGTCCCCTTTCCCACCAGATGCCTCCCCAAAACTACTTGACTCCTAAACCCCATATCCACACCCTTCCCTCTGCCTCATCACACCTCTCACCCTTCCCAAACCCTGAAACCCCCACCCTCCTGCTCCCGCGTGGCACCTAAGAGGCCACCATCCTCACCAACATAGACAGACAGGCAAGCGTGCTTCACTCCACCTACTTTTGATGCACCTCTGAACTCCCTCTCGCGTCCGTCTTCCAACCCCTTTCATAACAAGCCGTTTTTCATCATTCTCCAACCCCCCTCTTGCACCCTTAACAGGCCGTGATTAAGTCCTTTCAAGCCTCCCTCCCACGCCCATGTGTCCCACCAACCCCCCCCCCTGCAACAGGCGACATTCACCTCCCTGGTAGCCAGTATGACGTGCTGGGTTCCACAGACAACGCAGGCCAGGGCTACCTCTACCGCTTAGTAGATTGCTCAAGCCTCCCTCCTACAAACACCTGCGCCCCCCACCCCACAACAGGCCACATTCACCTCCCTGGTGGCGAAAATAGACGTGCTGGGCTCCACAGACAACGCGGACCAGGGCTACCTGAACCGCTACTGGCCGGGCTTTGCCAACATGTCCACCGCCCACCGCCTGCCCTACCGCTTCAACGCCATGCTCCTCTACCCCCGCAACTACCCCCCTCCGCGCTGGTACGACGTGGACCGTGCACACGAAATCATGGGGCCTGTCATGGTGGCTCATCTGGGCGGGCCGTGGGGGAAGCCGGCTGGTATGGGCTCGAATCGGCCTGTGCCGGGCCCGAATGGGTGTCACTGGTGCTTTGTGAATGGCGAGCAGCCGTATGCGGTGTGGCTGAGGATTTGGTATAATGTGTCCCGTGCGTTGTATGATAACTGCTGGTACCCGCTGGATGCGGGGGGCGGGGGTGCGAGCGGGGAAGGGGGGAGCGGCGGGGGTGGAGGCGAGCGGGGGGAGGAGCGGGGGGAGGAGGGGGAGGAGGGGGCGGGGCGGGAGGAGAGAGTGTTGCTGAGGAGCAGCAGCAGCACAGGGTTTTCGCTCACTGCAGGGCTGCTGAACGCAGCGGATTATGAATCAGAAGAGCCGGGGAAGAAGCCCCGTGCGGCTGAGTGGGTGAGACCAAGCATGACGGAGAGTGCCGTGGAAGGACCAGGAGGGGCAGAGTTGGGTGACACGAGCGGCAGCAGTGGCAGCAGCGGCAGCGGGGGGCGAATGGTGGTTGCAACAGTGGTATCAGCACGCAACCACCATGCGGCAGTCCCATGGGCGATGTCTTACAACAAGCACCACCCGCCCGGCCCTTCCCGAGTCCCCTCCCTCCTGCTCGTGCTCCCATCCGTCCCCTCCTCCCACCGGAAACTTCTCGAGCCACTGTTTGACCACGTGCGGGTGGTCCTCTCGGTGGGCCGTGCGGGGCAAGAGGGGAAAGAGGAGGGTCAGGATGAGAGTCACCAGGAGGAGAAGGAGGAGTGGGAGGAGGAGGCGGAGGAGATGTCAGTGCTGCAGGTGTGGAGCCAGACGGATTTCGACCGGGTGCTCTATGTGGATGTACTCTCTCTCTTTGCCACCAACATCCAGCTTGTCTTCTCCGAATTCCAGCCGTTTGCTGCGCCCCCACTGCGCTTCCCTCCTGACATGTTCTCTACGAGAGTCATGCTGCTGCGGCCGAACCAAGACGTGCTTTCACGGATGCTGCAGACGCGGCACGAACGTGCGAGCAGCGGGAGCAGGGGGAGCGGTGGGAATGGGAGCGGTGGGAATGGGAGCAACACCGAGTACCTAGACCTGTTCCTGAACGCGTACTATGGCACCTGGTTCTATGAATCGCCGCAGCACCGCATGCCGTACGCGTATGCGGTCAACCTGAGGTACAACCAGAGGCTAAGGCAGTACCAGCCGCACCCGCGCATTGTCACGTTTGACGGGGACTCGCCGCTGCACATGGATGTGCGAGTGTGGGCGGACCCAACAGGGGGGTCAAGTGTTAACTTTGGCCGTGTGTGGCATGGGTACTGGCAGGAGGGGTTGGGGCGCTGGCCGCGGCTGCGGTCGTTGCAGGCGAAACGAGGTGGGAAGAGATGAGGAGGCGAGGGATGGTGCTGCGCGCGGTGCTGATGAATATATACAGGGTTGGATTGGAGTAGCTTTCTATGTGTGTGCTGCATGTGATGCGGCGTTGGGGAGTTGTGGTGAATCCTGATCTGTGAGAATGTATGCATCCCCCCCATGGTTCTGTGTGGGGTTTCAGAGGTTAGTTCAGATGCTGGTTATCAAGTATGCTTGGTGATTATTAAAAAGA